AATTTCCTGATATACTTAGTTACGAGAATAACATTATAAACGAGAAGAATCGATCCAGAAATATTCCATTTCCATATCGAATAATTTCGCAACGTCACTATTTAGTACTTGTCATAACGTTGCAACACTGAAATTGTCAAATCTGGAATCGAATTAAAATTCTGACTATAGTTTATTATAAATGTAAAAAATTCTTTGTTTGTTTGCATGTTTGTACGTCAATCACGCTGAAACTAATGAACGGATTTTGATGTAATTTGGTATGGGCAGCTAGGTGACAGGATACTTTTTATCCCGATTTAATGGTCCCATGGGATAAAACAAGAATCATATTCTACGCGGACAAAGTTGCGGGCAGCAAAAAGTATAGTCGAAAACTGTAAAGTCTTCTCTGCGAACTGTACAATGTATCTACATGTACACTTGTACAGTACAGGAATGTTAAATTAGTACCTATTTAAAACTTAAAAAGAAATTAAGTAATCAAGTGAGTAACAGCTGTTATCAGCTTATCGGAGCACGATTCAGTATTACGTGGTATTACTCTGAATCTTCAGTGATTTTTTGTGAGTGATAAGAGCTTCATTATTCATTCAGTTTAATACCGACGCGACGTGTGTCTTGTAGTAAAATTAATTGTAATCGAGATTTAGTATTTAAATTAAATGGTTAGTTGACATTTAAGCTTATTAAGTTATTATGGGAATCTGAGCACCTACATGGCATTTTTTAATCTCATAGGTTTATTTATTTGAGAGTTTATTTTTCATAGTGTATTTTGTATAATCTACCAAATCTAACAATAGTGCCAGTGGCGTGCTGATACAAAGGCTATGTCCAGTAACGGCTGATATAGTTAAAAAGATAAGTGAACGAAATTGAAAATGTTAATTTTGTGTGTATAGGCGGGTTCCAATGACAAGCCTGCGATGCAGCTCGGAGCTGCAAACGCAGCCTCCCACCTGCAGAACATGTGCAGCCTGGACATCGACTCCAAGTGCTCATTTGTGCGTCTGTCAGGGATCATCTGCACCATTGGTAAGTATCCTTAGTATTTTAAATGTAGTCTACCTAACATCAGGTCAGGAGGGCTTTAGTCCTAGTAGAGAAGCCATTGGTTCTTTTTGTTTGAAGGACTTTTGAAGGTCGTTTAAGCTAGTGCTCCCCCAGACTTAGTAATATGACTCTTTAAATTTTTTTTATGGTATAAGCCGATAAACGAGCGGAGAAACGAGAAACGGATCACCTGATGGTAAGCAATCGGCGTCGCCCATGGACACCTGGAACACCAGAGGCGTTACAAGTGCGTAACCGGCCTTTTGGGATTAAGAATTTATCCACTTTACCATCACTTTTATTTCTTCATTAACCGACTTCAAAAAAGGAGGTATTCAGTTTGACCTGTATATATTTTCGTTTGTTTGTGCGTGATTATCTCGGGATTGGCTGAACCGATTTTGATGCAGTTTTCTGAAAAGTGTTTGTTACACAACTAAGACTTAAGAGTTTTAGTATATTAATTAAACGACTTCAAAAAAGAGGGGCTTAAAGGCGGTTTTTTTAAATAGTTTATAAAGAATTATTTTACTTTATTCAACGTACCTTCTTTCATAACCAGGGCCGGCTTCCCGCGACGTTGCGATGCTGGAGCGTATGATGGAGACTGGCATGAACGTAGCCCGCATGAACTTCTCCCACGGCTCTCATGAGTACCACGCCGAGACCATCAAGAACTGCCGCGAGGCTGAGAAGAACTACAGCGCTAAGCTTGGCATCCCCTTCTCTCTAGCTATTGCTTTGGACACCAAAGGACCTGAGATCAGAACTGGACTGCTTGAAGGTGTAAGTACTTGATATTATGTATGATATACAGACTTGTGACGCCTGTCTCCCATTGGGGTAAGCAGAGACAGAACCCCAAATTACAAGATTCTGGCATACCTGTTTCGCTTCATCTACATTCATAAATCGGTTCACGCACGCTTGTCGATTGAGGGTCACTTGACACAGTGAAGTATATTCTGTAATAGTCAACAGCTGATATCGAACTTATATTTTAATTCAATACAAGACTGGGGTCACGGTCGGTCGTGTGATAAAATCGAAATTGAAATTTCTAAACAACGCAACATGCTAAAAATAATTTGATTTGATTATTTTGAAAGCACTCGTGATACGCACGTGTGCAAATAGAACAATGATTTTGTTACATCAGGCACTTCTCAGCCTTTTTTATTGAGGGAAAAAATCATCCAATGACTTCTCCAGGCTTGGGTGAAGCGGATAGGAGTGTCAGACTCTTACTGACTAAAAATCACCCCGTTCCTATTCCTGCTTCAAGCCGGAGCCTCTGTAACTTGTTAGGTTGTCCGCAGGTCCGGCAGTACCTTCAGCCTGGCCCGTTGTTTTTGCTTTTCCTCGATATTTTCCAGGTGAATCCAGGTGAAGTAGATTTTTTAATATTATATAATTGTATATACAGGGTGGTTCTGCGGAAGTGGAACTGAAGAAAGGCGATACTATCAAGCTGACGACTGATGCTGCGTACCAGGAGCGTGGCACCGCGGCCACCATCTACGTGGACTATAAGAACATCACCAACGTCGTGAAGCCCGGCAACAGGATCTTCATCGACGACGGGCTCATCTCTGTCATCTGCCAGTCCGCCAGTGTCGACACACTCGTCTGCACTATTGAGAACGGAGGTTAGTCTGTCGAGGACCTAGAAGTAGCATACTTTTTCGTATTTGTTATCTCAATATTTGATAGTGTAGTTAAAATTCCCACAACACGTCATGTAAATGTCTCAGGTCTACTGGAAGAAATTCCACCGGGAATTAGTAGCACTTTTTTAAATGTAAATGCAATAAAATAATTAAAATTCGGATAGTAATTTAAAAAAGCACCATAAAGGACTATTAATCGTACCTAGTTTTTGTAATAGGCTGAAAATCTTTCAATTTCATTTGCAATGCCTAGTCATCAGAAAAGCTGTGGCTTATTCATATATATAGATATATAACAAATAGTTGTTTGCCGCAATTATACCGTATTATATCAACCACATGTAAAATGTTCTTTTTTCCAAAACACCATTATCTCCTATTTGCCAGGTATGTTGGGTTCCCGCAAGGGAGTGAACCTGCCCGGTCTGCCCGTGGACCTGCCCGCTGTCTCCGAGAAGGACAAGTCTGATCTGCTCTTCGGTGTTGAACAAGGCGTAAGTATAAATCGCGTCATTTTGGATTTTCAACCCTATTTTGAAGAAGGTTAAGACTATTTTAGCCTTTGGCAATCAAAATGTTGTATTTTTACGTGAAGTGAGTGTATCCATTGGATTCTTTTGTGTAGAATGTAGAATGAGAAGTGTCAGAAGCCTATTTCGGCGGTACAAACAAACAAATAGAAAATCTATCATTATTATTATTAGAAGGTGTCAGTTAAAACAGTTGACGGCACGTGAAACCCAATATATCAATCAAAATAACACAAATCGAAAGGTTTTCTATGATATAAAGCGGAATGATGAATGAAAATGATAAGAGGAATCGTTATTTTTGACTGAAACCTCTTATTTTGTTAGATAATACTAGATATTGTTATCGGCTAGAACACACCACAACATCGTGTTTACAGCGTGTTACAGAATGATAGCCATGACGATAATTAATTGACATTGGAAATAGACTCGCTTCCAATGCTTTCACAACTAATGAACACCTGTTTTGACGCTTCAAAGATGGCGTTTGTGTGTTATAATTGTTATTAATGCTTTGGCTTGGACTATAACTTAACCTGTTGAAAATAGTTGAAAATCATCCCCTAAATTTGTTCATACAAAAGTAGTCTCTAAACATTGGTCAAGTAAAGTCTATAATATAGTTAGTAGTAACAATAACATGGGTTAACATAAAATCATGACTGATACGTGTTTTTAAATTCTACACTTTGTATACAATTTTTATAGACTGCACATTCCACAGCTTATGAGAGGAAAACAACACTTTCCTACTGAAAAACCGAGGACTGGTGACATAGACCACAACTGAATGGCTCATTGTGAATGATCACAGATTGCCAATTTGCATAAAACATAAGATAAAAAAATGGCTCAGTTGGCGCGATGGCTGGGCAACTGGCTGCCGCACAACATGTAGCAGGTTCGATTCCCGCACGGAGCAACTCTTTGTGTGATCCACAAATTGTTGTTCCGGGTCTGGTTGTCCATGTATATGTGAACGCACGAACAAACGATTTTTATTAAAAAAAAAAAACTTAAATACTGGTCACAATCCGGACTAAAATGGTATACTGCTTATTACAATTTAAATAAGCCTTTGTAAGTACTTATTTCTCACGAAAATGAGTAAATAAACAATTTATCTGAATTTTAAAAGACTTTGTTTAACAAATCTTTCACAGAATCATGCAAGTTGCATACAGAAACTAATAAAATTTATCATCCAATACAAAACCAGGCCAAAAAACCAATATTAATGTGAAACTTATAACAAAATCAAAGTATTAACACGCGACGTAGTTGCTGTTCACTATTATAAGGAGCTAAAAATAAAATGGACGTTAAAAATACATTCGTAACTAAAATAATATAGAATCGCCATCAGCCTGTAGATGTATCACGCGTATGTCGAGTGACTTACGTGGGTACTTTCTAGATAATGGGCGGTTGCTTTGGGATAGTTCAGGTAAATCCAGTTTTATAATGAGATAGATAAATATTGATAACGTCTAAAGTACGTCGATCTTTCCATGTTAGGATTATTTTTTATCGTAGGTTCGGTAGTGGTTCAGAGAGAACTGAAATAATGACTGAATGTATTATAACAGTAGCTTAGAATGAAGATATGTTTATTTTATTTTTTACGTACTATAACGGTCTGGTGCTGAAAATCAGCGCCGTGGGTTCGAGCCTCTGTGCCCGGTCCACGGTATTAAGCTGAACATTTTTTTGTGTTTCTAAATTCTTGTTGTATGTCGTAGCGTCGTCTTTAAGACTTGTAAATTCAGTTCCAATGAAGATATAAAAAATCTAAACATAGTAAAAAATCTTACCTTGTACGTAGACCCTATAATGAATGAACAAATAACAAAGTTTTGATTTTAATAAGATCATCAATGTTTGTCTAACATCTCGCCTAGATTAACAATCGTCCTACAAACTAAACAATAGTCAAATGTTAGCAATAATTTAACAAACACGAGCTTTGCTATCGTACTGCTTTGTCCAATAAAAGCCCATACAAGAGTTCATTGCATTCGGCCCTTATCCGCAGACATGCACGTAGGTGTAAAAAATATTTACACTCAAAATATATTTAATCCTCGTACCAAGTAAATCGTCATACAACACGCGATGATATCGTGAACACTATGATATCAACTCGTCATTTGATTAAGCTGTTCAATGCACTAAAATCTGATAGATAAATCTTAATTACACTTGACGTATTTTGCCAAAATATCCGCCACCTACAAAATAGACTCTTAAGTGTACAAAATAAGGTGCAAATTCATACTGCCAAAATGTTTATAAAATTCAACACTTAACGGATTTACAAAAATATCCATATGTAAGAAGCCAATAAAAATAGACCCTTTAACATTAAAAATAAGGTACAATTTAGTATTACAAAAAAATCGAGACATCAGTAAGAAGTGGTCCAGACAGTGTTATGACGTCACGGACCAGTGATCGATGAGTGATCAACAATAAGAAACACGTGCGAATGTTGTGTACTGATAGTGTTATCACAAAATGTCGATAGGCCGACGTAAAAATTAAATAACTGTCTGTTGATAAGCATCCCCGCAAACAATGATAAAAATGTTTCTCGAATTAAATTAATTGGTGTCTTGTTGAGTTTGGGATTACTGATAGACGTGCTAACATAACATCACGCCTTTTATCCCCGAAGGGGTAGGCAGAGGTGCACAATACGACACTTTATGCGACTGTATGTATGTAACACCCACTTTTCACTATTTATGTTATGAGTCCCATGTAATAGGGGGTGAGTCTATTGCCATATACCGGGCACAATTCCAAATTCCGTGCTGCTACTAAGATTTTTTTTAAAAACCCCAGTAATACTTTGCTCGACTCGGGAATCGAACCCGATACCCCTTCCCAGGCAGTCGTACTTGCGATCACTCCGGCCAACGAGATAGTCAATAAATATAATCATGTATATTTGTTTATGTCACAAAATAATTATACAATATGTTTGTCAAACAGTTAGCCAGATTTGTTATACTGTTACCCAGTTAAATAAAAATACATATAAGCATAAGCAGTATGGAAAGATCATAGCATTTTTACTTCTTGTATAGTCTTTCTCTAATGGCGGAAGATACCTGTGAAGTATTAAGTAGCTATCCATGAAAAATATTATTACTGGGTATA